GACCTTCTTATATTCGGCGCTCTTGAATTTTACATCGATAATCACGAAGCAAAGAGAATCTTTTATAATAAAACAGAGCGACGCGCGCGCACTACGACTTTCAGATTTATTTTTTATCCAGTTACATGATTTTTTTATATTTTCTAAATGAATTTAAAACGGCGATGTCTATTATTTTTAAGTCTGCCGGATGTTATTATATCTAAGAATATATTGATAAGTACCTAATCGATAAACTGTAGGCTGTATTCTGATATGTAATAAAGTTGTCTAGAAAATACATTTACCGCGATATTATTAAAAAGTGAGCTCACCGTGGTTCCGTTATTAAGTCATCGATCTGCTTCCACGAGCAAATGATTTTTATCTTTTGAATGAATTAAATGTGCAACATATTATTTCTTTCTACACATATCATGTCGACATATTAATAATTGTATCACTTCTGATGAGCTTGCCTGTTTGCAAAATGTAAAAAACATATCTAAGAGAAAATTATCATATTTTACCAATTCGATAAACATTGCGAACGAATATAATGAATTGTTATTCACCGTCGTTAGATCATGAGAAGATTGATTTCACTTGGCAAAGTGTAAAGCGATCGAATATGTTTCCAATCTCCGTCTGTAGTTTGTTGAAAGATTGTTGGTTTTGCGATTTCATACATTAAAATATAACGCATTAAAATTTAGAGGATTAGGCATATAAAAATAAAGTTATATACTGCGTACAACATCAAACAGGTAACTACGTTACTTGTAATATATTGTAATATGACTGAAATGATATGGGACAAAATGCTTAAATAAAAATAATATGAATATAGATCGGCTTCTTGTATGTTTTTTCTCCCAAATATATACAATTGCTCTTAAGGAAGTATTAATATAATAAACCCGAAATATTTGTTATCGAAATATAAACTAATTTAATAAGAAATCAATTATCACTCGCATAATGACTTCTGTATCATATGTTCAAAAAGTCAAAAATTAGAGAATTAGAAGAATATATTCCTAAAATTCTATTCTAAAAAAATTATCATTTTTATGCTTCGAACGATCTTGGCACATATGTTTTTTATTTGCTATAACAATTAATAATAATAATAAGTAAAATTATAACAACCAATAATAATTAAATAGTTTAAAAAATTTTTTTAAATTATATTGCTAGATATATCAAGATATTTGAATTGATATTGAATTTTATATTTACAAATGCCATATAAATATTTAAAAAGATTTATATTTTTAATTAATAAAATATATAATAGAATAAAATCATATCGATTACATAATAAATATTTGTATTTAGAAATTTATTATATTAAATATAAAAAATGTTATGAGCTGAATATAGGTCAGCATGAAAACTAAACTCTCGGGCAATCAGAACATCTCCACAGCAAGGACGTTACCTGAACTGGTATCCAATCAATCCGGTTTTAATCATTCCTCAAAGGAAATTGTAAGTGAACCGGTAAGCAAAAAGAGGTGCATGACGAACGCGGACTTGACTCAATTTCAGCGTGTAACAGTTTTATTCGTCAGATTTATTTAAGATAAACACTTATTTTATTTCAAACCACTCGTACTCATACACATTCGTAAAGATTAACTTCTTCTGCCAAAGTTTTATATATAATAAATAATATACATGAATATAAAAAAATTATTATTTTGGTAAGCCTAATAAATTTTGTCAATTATTGCGAAATGTTGTACATATATTTACGATTAATCTAATTTATAAATTAATTTAATTTATAAAAGAAAATGTTAAGTTTTATATAATCTTTTAGAAGCTCTTCTCTATTCTTTTAGAAACAATAAAGTGAATTTCAGCACGTCTTGTATCGCATTCCAGTAGTTCGAATTTCATTGATGCTGTCAGCAGTTTAACGCGATGGTCTTAAAAGAACTTTAAAATTTTATCTGTAATTTTTGCTTGCAGCAGGGCAATGCAGTGCCATCTCAAATACAAAGAATAATTATATGAATATAATATAATATGAGATATTTTTTCAATCACAATGACGTTAAATAGTGTTTCGATGCAATTTTAATTTTATTATTTCATATCAAATGCATGCGTTGAATGTCACTTCGTTCACATCACTTATTCGACTGGAAAATTCCGTAAAAAAACGATTCAAGCCTTTGCTCTTCCTTGCGTGTGACTATCGCAAATCGCGTGAATACATATACGATATGCATGTAGACGCAACTCGTATGCCTGCAAGAAATACTTACAGAGTTTCAATATTCTTACTGCTTGCTCACAACGTGACCACAACCTTGGTACATCGTATCGCTTACACATTGTTTCAACAGTATAATGCACGAGGGTCGAATTAATCTGCATTTTGCGAATATCGGAGACAAGATACGCATCTCTTTACACTGTGAGATATAAAACTGTCGCAATATTCTCTACTAAGTATTTCATACGTATTTGAGATTGTGCGACACGAAATTGTAATTATAGATTTTTTATCTCTTATCACAGAGTATATCTATTTTATCGATTATAATAATATATAAAATATTATAATGTATAATAATATATAAAATTGACATTATATGTAAAATTTTATTACATTGTATATAAATTTTTTTATAGAAACGCAGATAAATATATTAATAATCTTCCTATAAACAATTCTATAAATAAATAAATTTCATTTCTGACGGTGAAAATATAATGTTCTATAGAAGCCGTATCTCGAGAGAGATATGTATATCCGTTAAAGTTCTAATGCAGGCGATTGAATCATCAATACGTGACATACGTATCAATGTGTATAAATTTAGTGCATACTGTCTGAAGGCCGATCACAATTGATTTCAAATATGGCACGTTATTCAATATTAAGTCAAATGATCAAGCACAACAGCCGTGTAATCAACATCCAATATAACACATAATAATATTGCATGTGCTTTTCTTTCTGTAAAAAAAAATATCCATAAAACCAATGTAGTTTACGTATTTATCTTGTAAGTGAATAATAATGAAATATAGAAAAAAAAGTTCTTTAAAAAATAATATTTTAAATTTACAAAAAATATATATTTATAAAACATATGTTAAAATTACATCAAAATAATATTTCAAACTAAATTACGAAATATTTTAAATAAGACATGGAAAAATTTTTTAAATCTGACTGAAACGCGTGTCTTCTAATATTTCTCTTATGTCGTGCACAGACCGCAATTAAATGGTATGTTTTGAACGAAGCGTGAAAAGATGCAAACGCAAGAATATATGATATCGGAAAGCGAGCACAGATTTCTCTGGTTGGTTTTACACGTATACACAAGAGGAAGTTGTTATTAAGTAAATTCTTAGGATTCCTTTCGGTACGGCGCTGCTTTTCTCACGGAGCACTGAACGTCCTTAGAGAAACTGGTAGAAATGCAAATAGATTAGAGTGCGGTCGTAAAATGTGCAGAAGTTTAGCAAGTGTAACGTGCAATTTTTTAGAAGAAATGAAAATGGTAAACATGTCTCTTCGAATTTCGATATCCTTGAATTGAATTTACAGAGATCCAAATTGAGACATTCATTTAATCAACAAACTAATCTATCAATTCTCAAAATATAAAATATCGTCTTGCAAAATCAAATTTGCAATGTTGACGTCAACGAAAGCAAATTCCATTGTATTTTCAACGTTTTCGATATTCTCGAATCGTGTAATACATATTTGAGATAGTGTCCTTTGACCCATAAAAACTATTTTTGAAATATTACTTTTGTAACTTGTTGATTATAAATTGTGAATTATAATACAGATACAAAATTATAAATTGCGCTCTTTCTAATGTGCTTTATTCCTCATTTTATGCTTTTGACATCTAATTCGCCAAATTTATAATATCTTATTTATTTTGTAATATAAACTCACAATATGAATTGTCAGTATGATGTCAATTTTCTTTCCAGAACGAGTTCCCATGGAGCAGCAACAATAAGGACCAGCCGGATGAAGGCATACGGAGAAATCTATATAGCCTATATCCATCGAAGGTTCCATGACCCAACGGGTATTTTTTTTTTTTATTCCATGTAGGAAGCCTGCACGAAGCCTCAGAGAAGGTCGTTTGTTCGAGGCCGTAGCCGAAGTCGAAGGAGATGCGCGCGAGAGTCCCAACAAAATCAAGGCCGCCGAAATTCAGATAAAAATCACATTTCACAAAAGATACTTTTTAATTTTGTTTTTAAAATAAAGTAGAACCAAATTGAACCAAATAAAAAATTTGACTTAAAAGTGATACTCTAACATTAATAAATGTCAAAGTACATATTCTCAATACAATAAAAGATAGAAATAAAAAGTATTGAATCTATTTTTATGCAGAAAGATCTTATTATATTATTCTAATATTTTAATTCTTCAGATTTTATTTAATTTTTGCTAGAAATATTTTTAAACAAATTATATAACAGTTATGAAATTAAATGCAAGTAAAAAAATTAACGCGTAATTATGAGAACTAAGGATTAAGGACTTTGAATTCTTAGACGGTATCAGGTCAGTTCGTGGAATCCGATCCTGACGTCATCTCCAGTTTAGGGAAAAAAAGTGCAAGCGAAAGGTGATCTAAACTTTCGGTTAGATACATTAACGAAATTTCTGCATCGGAACTGCGATGTTTTTTTATCGTTTAAAGTATTTATCACGCCAATTTAATTTTTTTTTAACAAAGTCAATTTTAAAAATATGTTCAAGTTCAAGATATCACGCCGAATACTCCGAAAGATATTCGAAGTATCTTTGATGCAACAAGATGATAACGTAATGTTATCTTATCTTATCTTAGTTTAAAGAATCGCGCAATTTAACGGAAACGTCGCTCTCCTCCGCGCCTCCAGAAATCCGCTCTTCGTCTGACGTCATCTCCGGAACGATTTGGAGAACGGAGGTCACGTGTCGCGAACGCGCCGTCGGACGAAAGCTCAATACTGACGCGGCTGGCCAATCGCTGAGCGCGTCGCAGGAACTCCGGCGGAACGTGTTGTCGTCGTCGTCTCGTCGCCGGCTCCCGCCAGTTGAGTCGCGTCCGCTGAGGTGTGAACGTGGTTTCTTTGGTGTAGCCGATTAACCCCTTGGATTCCCACCATATCGTAGACGTGACTTTTTCCTAGAAAAAAAAAAAAAACTGGCCTGTAACAGAGCTGCCAAATCCGGATTCGCTGCGGAAGCGCAAAGAAAGGTGAGAAACTTTCCTCATCTGGCGTAACACACAATCGCTGGCATTCCTGCCACCCTGACCTAGTCAACAGTTACCCTCCGCTCTCCCCCTCCCCGTCACTCTCAACGCGGGATACGTGGACTCGACCTACTGAGGGTGCATTTCCGCGCAAACGTTACGCGAATTGGTGAACGCGCATCTACAGTGGCATCGTCTGCCCGGGATAACCGGGTCAAGTCGGGATAAATGTGACAGATCCCTCTCTGATAAAGTTAATTATTATCATAAAATTGTTAACAATAATGTCCGCATTTTTTTATATCGATGAATTAATAAATGTCTGATTGCATCGTATTAAATCCTCGCTGATACAATTATTTTCACTGACCTATTTCGAGGTAATTCTGGGCTGGGATGAAAGTTCGGGGTGAGTTAAAGATGATAGAGGATAGAGGAGTTGCGCAGTTATAGAAATACGACGTATCGTTGAAGTCATCCGCGTTAATCGCCTCCAATATAAAATTTATTACGGTAAATCGATGTCACTTAAATGTATATTTATGATTCTTTTTAATTACGATGGTTATCACAATTTTAAATAACGGAATGATGGTTTTTATATCGATTTTAATAATCAGTTTTTATCGAAAGATAATTATCAGTTAATTAGAATTATTAAAACGAAATGAATCTCGAAGACTTTTCTACTCAAATATGAAATCTCATCTATATTTTTATAACATTGTGCTTTATTATTCACAGCTATTTGTTAAAAATGTCATTTTTAGCAGTAATATCTCGTGTTGTTTTCGTGATCATAATTTTCTTACTGTATAGTTACTATAAACAAAAAATTACAAAGTACACGTATCACACAACGTGCAAATGCGACAGTAAATAACGAAGCTGACTATCATTATATCCTTGCATTGGTTCACGTAGCTCGTGTTTACATTATCCAACTGCTTACCGATAACGTACGTCGTCAACTCACATGAATTATAAAATAAAACAGTGAAAAGCACACATTTAGATTTTTAAACAATTATCGCACAATTAATTATTATCGCACAATTATTATTATTAATAATAATAACAACATTAATATTATTAATATTATTGTTCATACATGTTTGACTTAGCTGCTTAGTTCTTTCATTTTAATTGTACGATTTTGACACGCGTGGCTATTTTTCGATGACGTCAAGTATCGTGACACAATAAGAAATAGGAAACGCGCGCAACAGTTGGCAAAAATTCGCGACATGGTACCCAGCCTGGCGAACCTTTGTGTTAAGTTCCTCGCAGGCGTGTCGTTTATCTCGCAGCTGTGTTTAAACGTGTGCTTTATACTCGCTCCGAGGTTCCGCGATTCCGAGACGAAACGATTCTCGCCAGCCATAAGTCACTTTATAATACAAACCCATGTATGTAGATACCTAAATCGTATCTATTCAAATGTAAACAGTATCCAGTAAATAGTATCCTTTTAAGTGTGCACAACACGAAGTGTTTTTTAAAGAGACAATTGGCGATAAAGTCTTTTGGAGGGAAATCGTCGAGATTTATCTGCGACATATCACATAAGAGTTTACTATATACAACAAAAAATAAACTCAACTGTTGCGATAAAATTTAGAAATACATATCAATCTTTTTCATATATAATTACTTAAACTTTAAAAATATGTGTCATTATCATTTAATTAAGATTCATCAGACAAACGTGTTCAAAATATATATAATCAATTTTTCAAAAACATCATTGTTATTTAATCTTCTAAAGGAAATAAAAAAATAAAATTTTCAAGGAAAATTACTATTTTATAAATATTCTTAAATGTTAAAGCAATCTCGAATGTTAAGAATGACATAAGCAGCAAAGAGTGACGTAAATGCTGGATTATGCATTCGTAGATAATTACGATAAGAAATCGTATGCAATTTTGATGCAAATATCTTACGAAAATAAATGAAGATTAAGAATAATGATAATGACATACACAATGCAACAATACTAGAAAATTTTGTTTGGAAAGGATATTGTATGTACCTCAATATCTCATTATTTTCCGCTAAGGGACAGGATCAATTCTAAACTTTAACCAAAATCGGATATCGGACGCTTTATGCAATTGGTGAGAATGTTAATTAATTTGATGACGAAAAATTATTACAAGTTTTATAAATATAAATGTGTCATTACTTGATAAAAATTGCATTTGCAAAAATTGCACGCGTATATATTTCGAAGAAGCGTAATTTTATCGTTATTCCGGATCACGATGAAATCGATTACCTTTTCTCACCTCAAATATCCCGCGGAGAGTTCAGCGATGCACGCGTTTCATAAGCGGCAACAGCTGCTAGGCGGTCGTTTCATTCGAGGGGAATTAAAATGAGATCCAGTTGCCGAAGAAGGGAGCGTCCCTCGCGAAACCCGCTGGCCATGGTACACTTCTTCAGCCGTTTCGGTCTGCCCTTCCTCTCCTCGGTACCTTCTCAAACATTTTTTGTGCGCATTATCGCACTTGAAATTATGCTATTCTGCAACAAGAGCCGAAATAGCATAATTTCGATAATTTTCGTCTTCCTTCGCACGTGACTAATGTTCGATTGCTTTACCCCTCACTCCTCGAGAAAACGTTGCAGAAAATTTATGTACTGTAATTTTATAATGTTAATTTCGCAGTGTTGCGAAGCACAAAATTTATTTTATAATTAATTTTCATGAAAAACTGAAAAAGTTATTCAGCAAAACATAAATAACTTAAATATTACGTCAATTTTAAATTTACATTAAATTTTTCTAATTTAGCCTCGACTAATATATTTATATTTTTATTTTTATTATATTTATATAATTAAATATGAAATGAATTGTAAAAAGAAATATATTTTCGTGCGCTAAGAAGTTTTTGCTTATCAGTGTTTTGTTCAACGTGAATTATCTTTGTGAAACATATTTTTGTATTGGATATTTTGAGTAATGCGCTCAGAAACACGTGAGCATAATTTTTCTCAAGAAGAGTAGCAGTTTTCGTATAATAGTTTTAATAATCAGCTGAGAGGATGAAAATACACTGAATGTTACCGCATACATAGCTAATGAATCATTTTTATCAATCGTTTTCCTTCCTCTGAACTACGATTTCCTGAATTCTAATATAAAACTTATGATTCATAAACTTATGAATTTATATATATAATTTTTATTTTATCGTATTATTGTAGTATTTCATTTTAAATACATTAAAAATTTTCTATTTCGAAATTTGCAAATGAACTGAATTATTCGAATGATACAATTTCCAGAAAATGCTTTTTCTTCTTTTGTAATAAAAAACTAGTAATTTTTGACTTCTTATAATTAATGTTAATTAGCAATTAATTGCAATTGTAAATAAATTATCTTATATTTTTAACGAAGAAATGAAGAAGTAGTTGAAAAATACTTTGCGATTCGGACTTAAAGACCGTCGCAAAGTTTGTGAAGAGACTCATTACGAACTAAGATATGCTTATCGCCTGCGGAATGCAGTTCGAGCTAGCTCGTTATACTTCACCGGTACAAAATCATTTGTCTCGGAACATCGCGACATATGCATTAAGATTAACTGTGACGGAGCATATTTTGAGCTGCTAATACGAAAATCTCTTTAAAAAACTTAATTTCAAATTGTTTATACTTCTTCTCCATTTATTCATTAATGTTTTACAAAATAAACATTACAGTTAAATAAATAAATAAATATTGCAGTTTTTTATTAAAATTTTATTTAGAAACATAAATTGCTAATTAATATAATCTCATAAAGGGCTAAATCTATGTCAACTACATCTAACATGCAATAAACATGCCACATCATGATTTACACACACACACACACACACACACACACACACACACACACACACACACACACCACACACATATCGAAAAAGTAAAAAATATTTATATTAACGTTGCTATATAATTAATAATTATAAAAAATGTTATTAAATTATAAAATTGTTGTAAATAGTTTCTAATAGCTAAAAGTATAAAAAAACATTATTAACATAAAACAGGGAAAAATAATTATGAATTTATTTTTTTTTTATTTATGATTATCCGCTAATACAACGTTAATCTAAGATAACAGTTATACGCTATGATTCCAAGGTAGCGTTGGATATATCATTATCACTATCAACGCTATAAATTAAAAGCTCTGAGCCATGACTACCTCCCATAATTCTTAGAGTTCAATGTGCCTATCTGTTTGTATAAGCTAATGAAGAAATAAATACATGTATATGATAATCAATGACATCAAGCGTTAATATCACAGACGTTACGATCTTGAGCGCCTATTTTCTTTGAGAAAAAAAAAATTAAATTAAAAAAGCTTTCGTGTATTGACACGAAGGCGAACATTATCATGATCGTCTCTGTCAGCACTCTTTGAATATCACAGTGTTATATCGTATATCGTAGTTGAATAAAACAAATACTTCAGCGCATTCTGTATTGTAATTTTGCATCGCAGACAAATCTTCAAGTATTTTGTAGTATTGCATTACAAATGTTAACAGAACTAAGTATTTATAAATAACATACGGGAAAAGTCGATTTTTTTAAAAATTGTTTATTTATCTTAAAACATAATTTTTTATTCCTTTTATTATTGTTCGGAAGAATATATACATGTAGAAATATCTTCTTCATTTTTCAAATAGATCTTTCTTCTAATTTGTCTATCTTCTTTGTACATATAATTTTTAATTAATTTATTTTTAATTAATTTATTTTTAATTAATTTTTCTCCAGCAACATCGATAGTAAAGTTCTTTCTACGGGTACCATACGATGAATGTATGGTATTATATCCGTATTCTAAAAATAGAGATGCTTCATCCCCGAAGAGGATATCTGTATTAACGGCCGGAAGTAGAATAAAGTGGTTTCCGTTCTAGGAGCGAATAATGGGGAATAAGGATTCTTGCGTGTACCTTATTATTCTTACGCATCTTTCTAC